TTCAAGTTACTTATTATAAAAGTTTGAAATTTCTGGTAGCTTTTTTTCTGTTAATAAAAATAAATTTAATCTGTTCGGTTAACGAATCTCCATAAAATGACGTGTAAAATTACAATTTTTTAAAATTTCAATAACTTTTTAACAGTTTAGTGAATCGATTTGTAATTTTTACAGGAGTTTTAGAATTGAATGAGAAACGTTCTTCCAAATTTTTATTTGTCTCGTAGCATTTTGACATACCTCCCAAACATCCTTAACCGAACTGAATACTTCGTAATTGCCAGAACCACAGAAACCTTTTTTCCATTTTAATCATTAACTAGGTACGATAGGCATAGAGACCAGCTGACATCTTCCTCTGTGCCCACTATAACAGCAGCGGCTTCCAGCATAAATCACATGACGGCATCAACGAAAGGGTTGTACTCGTATTGCTGCATCTGAACCGGAACCGTCCACCTATATATTCAAATTAACCTGGGAGAGCCAGAAAGAGCGAGTGGAGAACATGTGCCAGTTGTTAGGCGCGCTTTTTCATTACATCAGGCACCCCATTCAGGCGTCCATACGTGTGTAGCACATGCATGCGTATCTCTGCTACCTGCGACGAACGTCGCGTCGCATCGCATCGCATCGTAAGGAAGTGTATTGTAGAACGAGTGCAAGGTTGATGCGATCAAAAGGACCGTATGCAAAGAAGGAAGGAATGCGTCTACCAGCAGGTACAGACAACAACATCTGCATACGTTATTGTTGGTTGCCGGGGACCAAAAAATAAAAAAAGAAGAATAAAAGAAAGAAAGGGTTAGTTCGCCGATGAAAGGGAATGTGAGAATTTGTTCTCCGATCGGGCATGCAGGTAGCGACTGGGCGAGTGAGTGAGGCACCGGTCGGAGGGCTAAAGGTAACGAACGTGGATTGTGATAGAAAGAAAAATGATATATATCGACGGACGTCGGGTCCTCCACGGAGACCTCATTTAAATATAATTCAGAAACTGTCAAACGCCCCTCGAAGTCATTTACATGCGATGACTTACGTGCATATGTGTGCATGTATGTACGCGTGAGAGTAGGTACTGCTGCTGCATTGAGTTGACGTTGTTGGCAACCGTTAGACTTATGTATATCTTCGTGAGTGATTTATGAAAGGAAATTCGTTTTATGCGGAGGTTTGCATTCGAAGATAGATCTCTTTCGCGAGAAAACTATATCGATCTTTCTTGAAATTGTGACGTTTACACCATATTTCTCCGTTTCTACTGCACCGGATATGTTGCGACATCCTCACTGGAAAGTTTTCTTCATATCATTACCTATTTGTACCTGAAAACTAATAAAAAACCTACTTGAATAAATAGTAATGATAATTTACAATTAGGATCGAATAAAATACAAAATGTAAAATTTTCTTTTATATTTGGGAAGTTTCTGATCATCTACAACTATTTTTAGTCATCGGTAGTCCAAAGTATCGAGAGTATCCATCGGAGGTTTCGATGTATCCCACTTTATATTAATTAATACATGCGTCTACTGTCACTTCGTGTGTTAAAACTGACATTTTCGTAAATATTTTCGAGACTGTAATACTTCCGATGGGTAGCTCGACAATTCGATATTTCCGATACCTTAATATTACTTTCGACGTGTCGATACCTTTGGGATACCTCATTACTGTCGATACTTCGATACTTTCTATAGTACCTATCGACACTTCGAAAGTATCGGTCCTCGATGCCTAATTACTGATTGAGACTCGAACGATAAAATTGTTAATTCAGAGATTCGAGTCTCTCACAGAGAGACTGAATGAATAAAACTGAAAAATTGAGAGACTCGAGTCTTTCATATAATGACTGAGATCTCTGATATATGTTGAACTTCGAGACACTACTTATTGAGAGATTCGAGTCTCTCGTTCAGAGACTGGATACGAAATGAGGATCTCTCTATGAGCGACTCGAGTCTCTCGTTCAGAGATTCGAGTCGCTCGTTCAGAGACTGGATACGAAATGAGGATCTCTCTATGAGCTAATGGAGTCTCCCGTTCAGAAACGCTAAACTGTTTTTTGACAGTCTCCCGACAGTCTCTCTCAGCGACACCAGAGAGACTCGATGAGAGACGGAGACTCGAGTCTCGCTTTCAGAGAGTCTGAGGACTGAATGTT